AACATACTAACAGAGAATTACATGTGACCGGACTAAGAAAAGAAGTTTGACAACACACAGAAGAAGCCCAAGAAGATTAATTGGACATTATTAACAGTTTAATTTACCAGTTTATATATCACTCAGCTTTCTCTTTCTCCCACTGTCTACCCTTCCCATTTTTTCTTTTAAGCGAAATACCTCCTCTTTTTAGGGGAGCCAATAAAATCTTTATTAAAAAAAAAAAAGAATGCTGACCTTGATGAAGCAGTGCCCTGGCCTGTCGTGGTAATTAGTGTAGGAGAAATGGCCTCCTTACACTTCACTTGCACTTGGTTACACATATCAGAGCATGAAGTACATGTGCCCTCTCTCTCTTTTTTTTTAAAGCCCCTGGAGGGGATTTTTTATTGCATTTTCTAAAAACTACAACAGAAAATGGGGGGGAGAAACTATTTATATGGGAGAAAGGAAAGAAACCAAACTAAAAACCCAAGTATAGGAGATCATTACAACTGCTTATAACAATGTTAGTCTAAATTGCTTTGATTACATTGAACATAGTCGATCAAGTTATATTATTTAGCTTTCAAGCCATTAATTTTAACTGTTTAAAGAAAATCATAAGAATATCATTAACAATAAAAATGTTTTAAGGCACCATTCAGAGTTCTTCAGCCTTCATTTCATCTTTTCTAATCCTTAATTGGTATTCTCGCAGCTGCTGTGGAGAACAGCAACAGCGGCCATAAGTTTTTAGAACCGCTCCCGAGAGCTGGAGGAGCCAGAATGACCTCTCCTGCGTGATGTCTGAGCGGCAACACGAGAGGTAAATTTGCCCCTATGAATCCAAGGCCACCACCCCGGGGCTCAGGGAGGCAAGGGAACGTTTTGCCCCTCCCCCGTGCGGGCATCTCAGCTGCCGCCAGGAACAGCGATGGCGGCCATAACTTTTTAAAGAGCCCCTCCCGAGAGCTGGAGGAGCCAGAATGACCTCTCGCAGGCCGCCGGGAACAGTGACCGCGGCCATAACTTTTTAAAGAGCCCCTCCTGAGAGCTGGAGGAACCAGAATGACCTCTCGCGTGTGATGTCCGAGTGGCAACGTGAGAGATGGAATTTGCCCCTACAAGTCCAATGCAGGGGACTGGAAAAAATAACTGTATAGCACATTGTCTATATTAATAGTAGGCAAATGCTTATCCTGGGGGAACTGTATTTTTAATGAAGAGAACATCCCTGAAAACTGGTGTCCTGTGAAGAGGAAGGGCAGGTCAGCACCTATATACTGAGTGAGAAAACCAAAAGTCTTTATTCAAGTCGGGATAGGGTTCCCACTTTTTGGGGTGGGAAATACCTGGAGATTTTTGGGATGGAGATGGCGGGGTTTGGGAAGAGGAAGGAACTCAGCGGGATATAACGCCATAGAATTCATCCTTCAAAGCTGCCATTTTCTCCAGGGGAACTGATCTTGGTCGTCTGGAGTCTCCAGAGTGGAGATCAAATATACAAGCAGCAGATCTCCAGGTGCCACCTGGAGGTTGGCAAGCCTCAGCCAATTCTTGATTACATGAATTTCTAGCATTGCTATAACAAACAAGACTACCGGGCCCTTCTCTCCCGGAACCATCCTCCCCAGTAGGCATGAAAGCACAGGGAGAAAAATTACTTCTTCCCTCAGAAACGACAAACTCAATTCTCACAAACTGCGCGCGCATCGTCAGCCTTTCTGACCTTCCGCGCGTGCGCACACTCTTCTTTCACGGGCGCTCTCAGTCTCAGTCCGAAGCCTCTCTGTAAAACGCTACGCCTTCCCTTACGTCCCGCCTCCTCCAGTAATCAATCATCGACGAGAGAGGGGGTGGAGCTATGCGGGACTCTCTGGCTCGTCGCATCGCTTCCTCTATTCCTTCCCACCTTCAGGGTTTGCTTCGCCGGTCTTTCTCTCGCCTCATAACTTTTTGATTTATTTTTTTGGCGCCCGCCCGCCTGCCTCTGGATTTTTGCGTTTGGACGGCGGGGAGGGAGGACAACGATGGGGGACCAGAAGGAGAACGTCCCACAACCGCCAGCGCCAGAAAGGGAAGAAAAAACGGCGGTCCGCACTTCGAACCCGACGGTAAGCCTTGCCGGGAACCATCTTCCCTCCCTTTCTCCTCGTGCCCTCCCATCCCGTAAAATCCTTTCGCGGGTAAAGCCACTGCAGTGGTAAAGCCCGCCGGTTGTGGCGCCCTGTTTGTGCCACGTGACCTCGCAGGAGCCGTTGGGCGGCAACTGCCAGTTCGAGAGGGGCGGGGTCTAAGAGCGCGCGCTTTTCGTTTTCGACACCCTCGCGCTGCGTGTTTCCTTCAGCGGACAGCGTAACGTGTGAGCTCACGCGCGATTGTGACTCCGGCTGTGTTGGGTGTGGTGGCGGTGAAAATTTACTTAAATAGACTTTACTAGTCTGTATTATCATGTCAGCTCGCCGCTTCCGCGTTGCCATGAGCTGGGGCGGCAGCAGGACCGCCTAAACACGTCTGCGTGACTGACGTTTCCAGAGGGGTGGCCAAGTTGACTTGTGTAACCCGCCCTGAGCCCGCTTGCGTAGAGGGCGGGATATAAATCAAACAAAGTAAATAATGAAAGTTGGCCTGTTTAATAATTCAGCGAGGCTTCTAATGTGCACAGGATTAGGCTGCGTATGTTATAAATGAAGCCTGGTTTCTTAGGTTCAAAGGACTTATTTACCCAGAGAATCAATTTCAAGCAAAGAACAGCCATCAAATCATACATGGCAAGCTTTAAAAAAAAAATAATACAGTGTCTTGTTTTATGTGTCATAAAATACAACAGGTTTCTAGATCCAAAAGTAATAAAAACGCATAACGCTTTATTAATTTGTTTGCAAAATTGGTATGTTGCATTTCTGCCCTGTGGCAACCTTGCCAATATGTGTGGACAAATTCTTAAATCTTGGATTCCTAATCATAGAAGTGGTTTCCTGATGTTATGCTTAGAATGTCAAAGTCTGTCATGGAAGCTTTTGGGCCAGTCTACCTCACAGGGTTGTTTGAAGATAAAATTGGGGGGGGGGCTATTATAAGCCACTTTGAGCCCTTGTTGTTGGGGGAGCATGTGGGGGTATATCTGAAGTAAATATATTTTACTGATCTAGAACTTTTCTGCATTCTCACTTTACTCGTCCTTAAATTGTTGTTATTTTATTTATATCCTGTCCTTTCCTGCAAGTGGGCTCAGGGTGGGTCACAACATGTCAGTTCATACATAGAATGCATAGAATTAAAACATTAAAAACAATAATAACCCAAATTCACAATTAACAATACATTTACTAACTAGATTCAAGATGGCAGCTATTCTGGGACTTCAGGTGCCTCCTGAGGAAGCTAGTTAGATGGTCATACATTGTTTCCTGTTGCCTGGTAAAGCTTTGTTGATCTCCTAAGTAGAGTTGGTCAGAAAGGGCACTATTGTACTGCAACAGTAAAGACCACATGGCCATTGAGAGCATGAATGTGTACTAAAGATAGTTTATTGACAGCTCTAGTAAGGAGAAGTGGGTAAGACTGAGCAAAAATCCAAACCATCGAATAGTCCTTTAATGAGACAGTGCAGTCCAACAATACTGGTCAATATGAGTATATGTTCTGAATACTTGGGAGATGTAAATTGCATATTCTGGTAATATCTTTTGTATAATATAATACATTAATATTAAATATACAGCCCTAAATGACACCAGCAGTCACTGCATGTTTAAGACCTGAAGCAAAACCTATGGGACATTTGTTCCGTCAGCGGTGGCCATTTGGCAGACAGATATGGCCATGTTAACTGGACCGTGCACCAAATTTTAATCTGGGCGTGGTCAAAAACTGTCCCATAATTTCAGTTGTAACAGTTTCAAAACTTTCATGAGAGCTGAATGTGTGTGGGTGAGAAAGATCCCCTATTTTGATGCTGAATCTCTGACCACCATATCGTTTTCTCGGCCACTGCCTGTCATGTTCATTTGTTTATAGACCAGTAAGCCAGCAGGCTGAAGTATTATTTTGATATTTGTGGGGGACAGCAATGAGGATGTTGATCTTAAATAATCTGATCTCATCATATGGCCTGTCTTCCAGGGCAAGCATCACTGTAGGTTTGATGGTCAAGAAGATAATAAAAAGAAATCCACAACCAGTTCAAGTTCAAGTGACTTCAGTGATCCAGTATACAAAGAAATTTCTTTGACAAATGGCTTTATCAATAGAATGAGTAGAGATGAACTTCGAGCTACACTTGCTGAATTCAAGCTGGACACCAGGTAATCATTTGCTGGGAGACTGTCTTCTCTAAGGTCGAAAGATTGTTTGTGACTTGTGTGTATAAAGTACATAGAGGCCCTGACATGGATGGCCCAGACTGGTCCACTCTCATCAGATCTCAGAAGCTAAGCAGGGTCAACCAGGGTGCAGAGGCAGGCAATGCCAAGCCACCTCTGTTCGTATCCTATCTGGAAAATCTTGTAGGGTGTCCATAAGTTAGCTGTGACTTGGTGGCAAATTACACATACATATACAGATCTGTTGTGAGTTCCTATTCCAAGGGGTCTTCACAGTCTGAAGAAGGAAAATATAGGGAGAGGACATGAAGAGAAAGTTTGTGATATGAAAGCAGTTAGTTTAATATGAACAGAATGACATTAGCTATGGACAAGGAAACACTGGAGACAACCAGTTAGAACAAGCCGAATTCCATATCTGTTGACATTTTTTTTTTAATTCCTTCATATATCTGTAACTTCAGGGTTGCACTATAAAGCAGTAAGTACAAATACATTCTAAAATTCTGTAGTATGAGTTGCAGGGAAGAGGAGTCTCTTCAGAGTGCCTGAAGCACTTTAATATCAGAAGGGGATTACCAATGAAGAAGTGCAGCTGGTAAGATACTTAAATGGGTTGTTCAGATGAAATATTAAGCAGTGAGTTTCATCAGAAAATGTGAAGTGGAACTGGACAGTCTGAATCCAAGTGCGTTATTCAGATAGGTTTTATTTCCCCCTTTGTAAAATGGGAGCGACAGTGCCTCGCCTAGGAGGAGAACTGTACTAGAAAACCAGGGTGGTGTAAAGGCTAGTGTCAGACTAGGATCTGGAAGACCCAGGTTCAGATCTCTATTCTTCTGTGTAGCCTACTGGTTGGGTCACTCTCCCTCTCTATAGCCGCAGGTATAGATGACTTTAAAGATTAACTCATGGAGGATAGGTCCATCAATGGCTTCTAGCCATGGTGACTAAAGGGAACTTCTATGTTCAGAGGCTGTGAGCCTCTGAATTCCAGTGCCAGGAGGCAACTCTGGGGGGAGGCCATGGCCTCTAGGCCCTGGGTCTTTTTTTGGCCTTCTAGGGCAACTGGTTAACCTGTATGAGAGAGGGTGCTGGACTAGATGATCCAGCAAGGCTCTCCTTATGTGAGGATAAATTGGAAGAGAAAAACCATGAATGCTGCTCTGAATGTCCTTGGAGGAAGTGTAGGATAAAAATGTTGTTTAAAAATAAGGCTTTTAAGTAGGCAAAAGTAAAGATTATGGAGTCCTTTGCAAAATCAATGTGTTATATAAATGATGCTGTTAAGGGCTAATAGTGTTTATGTAGCTGGTATTTCTGTTCTGTCGTTTTGTTTTGGGAGGGGACTTTAGTGCTCATTGCCAACTCTTTGCTGCTTTCAGGAAGAAAAAGAGAGTTCCCATCAACAGGAACTGTTATTTGAATTGTGTGGTGGTGTTGATTTTAGTTGGAAGGTACTTTTGGGAGACGTGACTGTAAATGGAACATGAATCTGATAGATTCAGGTGGGATAGCAGTGTTGGTCTGAAGCAGCAGAACAAAGCTTGAGTCCAGTGGCCCCTTTAAGACCAACAAAATTTTATTCACGGTATAAACTTTTGTGTACTTATACCATGAATAAAACTTCATTGGTCTCAAATGTACCACTAGACTCAAAACTTTGTTATGAATGTGATAGATTAGCAATAAAGGGTTATGTGGTTTTGTTTTGCTTTGGCAGGGGAGTGAAAGATGTCTTGAAGAAGAGGCTGAAAAACTACTATAAGAAAGAGAAGTTGATGCACAAACAGCCCGCTGATGCAGAGGATTACTACGATTACATCTGTGTTATTGACTTTGAAGCAACCTGTGAGGAAGGCAATCAGTCTGAATTTACACATGAGATCATAGAATTCCCTATTGTCTTATTAAATACTCGGACTTTAGAAATAGTAAGTGGCTCTGTCTTTCCAAGAAGTGACCTCTGCTTTAAATATAACACAAGAAACAAAATGGGTACAGGGAGGTATATCCTCTTCAGATATTTAGAGTGTTTTTCTTATTTGTTAAATACTCGGACTTTAGAGCCGCTGAGTGGCTCTGTCTTTCCAAGAAGTGACCTCTGCTTTAAATATAACACAAGAAACAAAATGGGTACAGGGAGGTATATCCTCTTCAGATATTTAGAGTGTTTTTCTTATTTGTTAATGTGGGCTTATTATTCAGCTTAAAGCGACTTTTGCAAGCCAGCCAACTGTGTTTCTGTCGTAAAAGCAGGGCTGCTTTTCATTTTAGGGGAAAAGAAAACGCTTCTGGGGTTTTGTTCACTTCTGAGGATCTAAAGAATTACACCCCTGCTTATTTTATTTATTTATTTATTTATTCAATTTATAGCCCGCCCTCCCCGCTGAAGCGGGCTCAGAGCGGCTTACAGTCAGGCACCAGCCAACACATAAAACATTTAAAACCATTTAAAACATTCTACAAAAATACAATATAAAGTGCTCCAGATGTTCCAGATGCTTGCACACTATTGTACAGAATGACTATAAGAATCTCAGTCTCGAAAAGCATTTATGCTTCATCATGACGATAGGACAATATTACGATTTTATGTTTGAAGTCCTGTTTAGATATCAGTATTTTTTTCTGATTGGATGGCTGTTTGTTTACATTCTTTACTATACAAAAATGCTATCACAAGCACAGATATTATTTGTTTCTCTGGGTTGCTGCCAAATCATGTCGTTTTAACTTTGTCTTGTAGGAGGACACATTTCAACGATATGTGAAACCAGAGATTAATCCTCAGCTTTCAGATTTCTGCATTAATTTGACAGGAATCTCTCAGGTAATTTCCTCCATGACGGTCCAGAGTCACAAGTGCAGTTATAACAGACTGAGGCTAACAAATTTAATTAAGCTTTCTAAAGACTCTTGCTCCTGCTGGTATTGCTTCATTTTCAGTTCTAGTGTTCAGTATAATCCATTCTCCAAGGTAACATGACTTGTTTTTGGTGCCAGGAATTCTGCAAAGTAGAAGGTAGAAGTAAACAGCAGTATTGTTGCTGGTATCCTAATTATTTGGGTGATATAAACATGCCATTGATCTTCATTTTTATGCTGCTCAGGAGCAAATGAACATGTTATGTAGATATCAGTCTATTGTAGCATGGGAAGCTGCTGTCAAAATAGTTCATCTTCAGTGCATGCAATAAGAAACTCGTAGAACCTTTGGTGTGTGTTGCTACCTTTGTTTCTAGACAAACTTTTCAGCAAATAGACCCAGATGATCTCACCTCTCATCATTTATCATTCAGTCTTTCTTTACGTCAACTTTTAGTATGCAATATTTGTGTTTAGCCGCTGATATTTTATATTTCCAGGACCTTGTAGACAAAGCAGATGAATTCCCTGTGGTTCTCCAACAAGCTGTCGATTGGATGAAACAGAAGGAACTGGGAAGCACATACAGTTATTCCATATTGACTGATGGGTCAGTAAAGAGTTATGCATGTGTACTTACTCTCAAAAGAGACAGACTTTGCACCCTGACCTGGATGGCCCAGGCAAGTCCGAGCTCATCAGATCTCAGAAGCTAAGCAGGGAGTGCTTGGAAGGGAGACCTCCAAGGAATACCAGGGTTGGGATACAGAGGCAGGCAGTAGTAAACACCTCTCTGACATGTCCCACTAGGGGTTGCCAGAAGTCAACCATGACTGCCAGGCATACACACACAAACAAAATACCAGGAGAGAGAGAGAGAGATTTTGCCAAAATTAAGCTACCTTAAAGGTATCACAAACAGTTTAAAAAATGTTAAGGTAGGAACCAAAGCTTTTCCTGTAGTTTTGAACTGATTAGGATGTGATTAATAGTTAAATTCCCAGACACTCCCACTTTTCACCTGCGTACTACCTGACCAAAACAATGTTGTGCCTGCAGTAAGGCGAATGGCATGTCTGGGAGCACTGAGAGAAGTAATCTTCTGAAGAGAGTGCATTAACACTTAACCTTTTGCACTCAGATCCCTACAGCCAGCAGAACTCAGTAGGGCCCCGTGTAGTTATGTAAAACATCTCAGTCTTTTTCTGCCTCACCCATATTTACAGCAGAATGGCAACTTCAGGTACTCTTCATAGCAATATTTCCTTTTTCACCCCAATTATGTATGTCTTTTCTTCTTTAAGATCTTGGGATATGAGCAAATTTTTGAATATCCAGTGTCGGGTTAGCCGTCTTCGATACCCTTCTTTTGCGAAGAAGTGGATCAATATTCGCAAAGCCTATGGGAACTATTACAAGGTCTGTGCTCGAGTCTCTTAACTTTATCCAGAAAATTCACTGTAGTGGTAAAATGAAAGCCTGGCAGATGATTTTTCTGTATGAGGACAGTGCAAGGATACTAACTATATGTTGGGACTAGTGACCATTTCTTTAAGGCCTCTTGTGCTGCTGGCTTCCAGTGAAATTGGTTGGGCATGCGAGGTATAATGCACTTCTGAAATTCAGAACCTCATGTTTTGTTTTTTGCTTAAAACAGAGATTTATGGGGCAAGTAACAGAGTTAGGCATGTAACTTAACCGGGGTGAGTGGGTGGTGGGTGGGTTTAGCACTACAACCTGTACGTGATGGCGTAACGTTTGCATTTGAATGTTTTCCCAGTATTAGGATCTGTTGGATAATTAGTAGAGCAGCAGAATGAAAGCGGAGCAGATGCATGTCTATTTAGCTTACAAGAAAATTTTACTGGAAAATAAGGGGAGGGTTACATGGAAGAAAAATAACAACATCCTAACTAGCATTTTAAGTCTAACTCCATCTTGTTTGTTTCTTTGCTCAAACTCATGTGGTGGTGAGCCCCACCTTGGTACACATGACAAACAGCATGTACCATACCCTAATATATTGATCAGCCAATAGTCACTCTTAAGACAGCGTCATTAGGAATAATACCTCCTCTTCTCTGGCGGGAAAGTTCTACACGACAGCTAATTGGTTCCAAGCTAACCAGCTAACGTTAGCATACATAAACAACAGTTAACTGTTTCGTGACTGAAGCATGACAGTTGCAAAACCCAACAGGATCACTGTTCATAGCTCTGTCTGATCCTCCAAAGGGTAACACAGATATGCCCCTATATGTTAATGTGCATGCTGCTTTTGGTCCTCTCTCTGCCCTTCTGAGGTGACTCACAACAGTTATAAAAATAGTTTAAAATATTTGAAAATTACAAATGCAAAGGACAGAATAAAAACTCACCAGCCTGTCTCTCTAGCTGCCTATTCTGGAGACTTTAAAAAAGTGAATGCCCTTTGGGACTCTGTAGCTAAAATCATGAGGTAAATCTCTATAACTTGGCCTGAATTTAACTTCATAATTCATGCAGCATCTTAAATTTATCTCCTAAGTTAATACAGTGATTGCCAAGTGTTTTCTGTGCTGTCCCCTCAAAATTC